GCCGTTTCCAATCCTTCCTTTCATGCAGTGTGTACTGTAGCTGTATGAGAATGTAAATGATCTGCAAAGTTGTAAAGCTGAAAGTGCACGATAAATAAAGTCATTGTCTCCCAAAATAAAGAATCGACTCTGAACAGCTTAAATGAGTCATATATATATATATATACACAGACACAGGGCTGCATTAAGACTGTAAGGGGCCCCTGGGCTTGACCTCTTGAGGGGCCCTTCATCCACGAGAACTACAGCCTACATTCACTCAATCTTAATAATCGCAAAGCACAAGTTGTCAGCCTTTAATTTTGTAGTAATAAATGCCATTAACAAAACATCAGAAGGGTCTGTCATATCAAATATACACCAATGTGCAGTGCATGAACTACACAGACATATTTTACACAGATTTCTATATAAAAATGTGTGGCATTAAATTGTGTTTTTTGTTTAAATGCATTATGAACTCATTGAGATATTTTTTTGTGGCTTAGCCTATTGCACTTATAGCACATCCTGCATTATTTTCTCATTCATGCATGTTCTTTTCATAAAAAAACGCAATGTGCACAAATATCTTGCTACAAAGAAGTTTATTATCTGGTAGAAGAGTATCTGGAAACATCAGACGCTATTAAGTGCTTTGCTTCCAAAGGCATACACAACTTCTCTTTATTAATATAACCTATAACAAGAGTACTTTCTTATAATAAAACAGTACATTAATATGTAGGATAGGACTATTTAATTACATTTATGCAGAATCGTCCACATCAGCATCGCGATGCGTCATAGAAATGATTACATTACACAGCTGTAGAGTGGTGTAGCTAACTACTGCAAGCTCAACTATGTTATGATGGAAAAAAAGAGTTAATTATTTGACTAATTATAGTCTACTGTAGCCTATCTAGCTACTGATAGCATATGACCTACCGTTGCCATGATCTGCATCTTCTCCTAGCCCTGCATTAAAATATGTTGAGCTTTGGAAACAATTTTCTAACAAATATGACTGACTTTCCACTTTATTTTTGGCAATTTTTCACTTTTCTCTTTCATATTTGGGAGCGTTTGATTGACACTTCTGGCACAGGACTCGCAACGATGCATTCAAAGCAAAGCGATAACGCTTAATTTGCGGTTACAGTATTTTCCGACATCACCGCGGGACCCCCTTAAAGGGGTCCTATTATGCGTTTTCACTTTTTAAACTTTAGTTAGTCTGTAATGTTGCTGTTTGAGCATAAAAAAGATCTGCAAAGTTACAGAGCTCAAAGTCCACTTCAAAAGGAGATATTTTATTTAACAGAAATCACTTTTCAAAAACTACAACGAACGACTCGTTTGGACTACAACGCATATTTTCCGGGATTTGTGATATCACAAATATCGACGAATGGGACGAGACCTGGTTGAGCTGCACTAAAGAAGGCAACGAGTGTTATCACAATGTCGGAGACACGCTAGCTTTCCCAAGGCAGACAAACTTAGACGTTCATGCCAGACTGGGGAGAGAGGTATTGTAATAATGTAAAATATGTGAAAAATAATGTGTTTTTCGAACAACCTAGTATGAGAACCTGTTCTAGTACACCCCCAAAACAAAATCAAGACTTTGTAAAAGAGCATAATAGGACCCCTTTAAGCCCAGGAAAGCCCGTGCATTAAAGCAGCCCAGTATATATGTGTGTGTGTGTTTCTGATAACATCCAAATTGTTGAACCACTTTTTGCTTTAATTACAGCCTTTAGTCTGTTGGGATTTGTCTCTACTGACTTTGCACATCTAGACTTTGCAATATTTACCCGCTCTTCTTTGCAGAACTGCTCAAGTTCAGTTAATCTGACGGTGAGCGTTTGTGGACTGCTGTCTTCAGGTCATTGCACAGATTTTCAGTGGGGTTTAAGTCTGGACTCTGACGAGGCCATGCAAGGACATTCACTTTTTTCTCCTTCAATCACTGTGTGCTCAGTTCTGCTGTGTGCTTTGGGTCATTGTCATGTTGGAAGGTAAACCTTCTTCCCATTCACAACTTTCTGGCAGAGGGCAGCAGATTTTCCTCAAGAATTTGACAGTATTTTGCCCCATCCATGTTTCCTTCTATCCTGACTCGTGCTCCAGTCCTGCTGCAGAGAAACACCCCATAAGACAATATTACCTTCTCCATGCTTTACTGCAGGAATGCTGTTATTTGGATGGTGAGCTGGATTGGACTTCCGCCAGACTTATCGTTTAATGTTGAGGAAAATAATTAAATTTTCCTAGTTCACACTACACGACTTAAAACGTCGGCAGATCGCTGTGCTGCTCAGACTACATGACTTCTTGGCTGTGTTGAAGTCGTTGTGGTGTTCACACTGCGCGACACTATCGTAAATGATCCGCAACAGAGGGTCACACACACTACATGAGCTGACAACAACTCTGTCACCCAACGACTCTATCCCGTCCCCAAACCACGTTTAGTCACGAAAACACACGCGAGAAGTTGAACGGGAATGATGCGAAACAACAAGTGAAACAGGAGTTGTTTATTTGAAAATGAACATCGGGAAGAAATTAGTGCTGCAAGCTGTTAGCGCGATGAAAAAATTGCTCCATTTCTTGTGTCAACACTTTTCTTAAAGCCGTGTTGCTGCTGCTGTTTTTCTTCCGCTGACCTCAACCCATGCCTTGCGCTCTCATTTGCTACACCTGACACCACATGATGTCGAGTCGGCCGACCGGTCCAGATATTTAGCATGCAAGATATTTGTTTGGCGTCTGCAAGCCTCTTTGATGCATCGTTGAGTAGTTCACACATAAAGATTGCCGAGCACTGATCACATGCTGATTTTCCCCCAATCACAGCCCGACCTGTCGGCAAGCTCGTTAATCCTGTAGTGTGAACTAGGCATTAGTCTCATCTGCCTCAGACTCTTTAAGGTGTGTTTTGGCAAAGCTCAGTTGTGACTGCATTCGGCCTTTCTTGAGGACTGGCTTTTTTCTTGCAGCCCTCCCATGCAAACCACATCTGTGGAGGATTTGTGATATTGTTGTCACATGCACACAATGACCACTCTTTGTCATAAACTCCTGCAGCTGCTTCAGAGTTGCTGTCGGTCTCTTGGTCGCCTCTCTGATCAGTTTCCTCCTGGCTCTTTCATCCAGTTTGGAGTGACGTCCCGATCCAGGGAGGGTCTGTGTTGTACCAAATACCTTCCACTTCTTAATAATAGACTTCACTGTGCTTCTAGGCATTGATAAAGCCTTCGAAATGTTTTTGTATCCATCTCCTGACTTGTGCATGTCCACAACTTTATCCCGGAGATGAAACAACAAGTGAAACAGGAGTTGTTTATTTGAAAATGAACATCGGGAAGAAATTAGTGCTGCAAGCTGTTAGCGCGATGAAAAAATTGCTCCATTTCTTGTGTCAACACTTTTCTTAAAGCCGTGTTGCTGCTGCTGTTTTTCTTCCGCTGACCTCAACCCATGCCTTGCGCTCTCATTTGCTACACCTGACACCACATGATGTCGAGTCGGCCGACCGGTCCAGATATTTAGCATGCAAGATATTTGTTTGGCGTCTGCAAGCCTCTTTGATGCATCGTTGAGTAGTTCACACATAAAGATTGCCGAGCACTGATCACATGCTGATTTTCCCCCAATCACAGCCCGACCTGTCGGCAAGCTCGTTAATCCTGTAGTGTGAACTAGGCATTAGTCTCATCTGCCTCAGACTCTTTAAGGTGTGTTTTGGCAAAGCTCAGTTGTGACTGCATTCGGCCTTTCTTGAGGACTGGCTTTTTTCTTGCAGCCCTCCCATGCAAACCACATCTGTGGAGGATTTGTGATATTGTTGTCACATGCACACAATGACCACTCTTTGTCATAAACTCCTGCAGCTGCTTCAGAGTTGCTGTCGGTCTCTTGGTCG